CTCACAGTCAACAGACATCCACTCGTCCGAATCCAACGACAACCGTCAACAACTGCTCGAAGCCATCGTCTCACTTGCTCAAGTGATACTGCTCCACTGGTGACCGATCGAGTGGACGGATACTGACTGCACTCTATCGCTCACTGGAAACACTGCTTCACATGAAAACTGCATACCCCGACTGCACGCAGACACACGTCACCGGACACTGACTCAGTGACCGGACCCGATGCAATCACTTACTCCATCAAGTCACGTAACTTGTCCCAGATGTGTTCACAATGATTTCTCTCTCACCAGAGTAGTCTCCAACAACAACAACAACAACAACAACAACAACAACATCGCCTTGTTGGTGTGCGTCTCACCAAACACTTATGTATGTCAGAGACCAGACTGATATACACAAGTGAGTTTGTGAATACAAATTGTGTGCGATGATGCAGATCAACTGAATCTTCGTGTGAATTCATGCGGTAGTGATGGTGATGTCTGTGAGATGCAGATTGTGGAGAGAGGAGAGGAAATGTTGGAGGTCGGTGGCGAACACCAATGTGAAATCACCAGACATGAGGAACCACAGTCGTTCCATTCATCCTCCATAATCAGAATGTGTTCAGGTGAGTCAGTGAACAGAGACAACAGGAACAGACATTCCATCCACAACCGGAATCAATATGCCAACATCAGACATGACCGAAGACAGATGATCGCGTCACTCATGCAACCATCGACAACATGTTTGAACTAGACAACTTCACCTTCGTCTCCGTCCCATCCCACATCTATATCTGCTTCTCATCGCCACATTCCATCTCTTCACCTTCTCTCTCCACCTCCACCTCCACCTCCATCTCCATCTCCCACACACACACGCACACACACACACATCTACGCACACACACAAACTAGTTTGACAAGTAGATCACCTACTTGGTGGATTGCATTCTGAGCATCGACATCTGTTTGTTCGTGTCCATTGCACACTCCTCATGCTGTCCGTCCCGACACGGAGATATGTGACGTCCGACTGACGAGAACTCGGATATCGTGGTCAATGCAGTGTTGGTTAGGGCTTCTCCGGATTTCCATCCCGTTCGCCAACTGAGCATCGATCACTCGTGCGAATGTCACGAACGATAGGAGAGGTGTGAGTCGACAGGCGATCGACACTATAGTGAGCTGGTAACTAGTCACTGAGTGTGCGCGTTTGTGTGCGTGAGTGGATGTGTGATGAGAGAGTGTTTTGTTGGTGTTTTGGTCAGTAGCGTGTGATGAGTAGTTGAGTGTGCAGTTCGACGAACCGTGTCAGGATGGCCGAGTGGTTAAGGCGTTGGACTTGAAATCCAATGGGGTTTCCCCGCGCAGGTTCGAACCCTGCTCCTGACGTGGCGGGCTTCTGTCCGAACATACAATTCGCCGCCTGAGACACTCACACCAGGCGAACCTCACACTCCACCCGACACACTGCGAGTGCAGGCACACACACACACACACACGCACGCTCCGCATCCTGACAACTGAATATCCACCTCGAGTCGACCACCGACTCACAGTCAACAGACATCCACTCGTCCGAATCCAACGACAACCGTCAACAACTGCTCGAAGCCATCGTCTCACTTGCTCAAGTGATACTGCTCCACTGGTGACCGATCGAGTGGACGGATACTGACTGCACTCTATCGCTCACTGGAAACACTGCTTCACATGAAAACTGCATACCCCGACTGCACGCAGACACACGTCACCGGACACTGACTCAGTGACCGGACCCGATGCAATCACTTACTCCATCAAGTCACGTAACTTGTCCCAGATGTGTTCACAATGATTTCTCTCTCACCAGAGTAGTCTCCAACAACAACAACAACATCGCCTTGTTGGTGTGCGTCTCACCAAACACTTATGTATGTCAGAGACCAGACTGATATACACAAGTGAGTTTGTGAATACAAATTGTGTGCGATGATGCAGATCAACTGAATCTTCGTGTGAATTCATGCGGTAGTGATGGTGATGTCTGTGAGATGCAGATTGTGGAGAGAGGAGAGGAAATGTTGGAGGTCGGTGGCGAACACCAATGTGAAATCACCAGACATGAGGAACCACAGTCGTTCCATTCATCCTCCATAATCAGAATGTGTTCAGGTGAGTCAGTGAACAGAGACAACAGGAACAGACATTCCATCCACAACCGGAATCAATATGCCAACATCAGACATGACCGAAGACAGATGATCGCGTCACTCATGCAACCATCGACAACATGTTTGAACTAGACAACTTCACCTTCGTCTCCGTCCCATCCCACATCTATATCTGCTTCTCATCGCCACATTCCATCTCTTCACCTTCTCTCTCCACCTCCACCTCCATCTCCATCTCCCACACACACACGCACACACACACACACATCTACGCACACACACAAACTAGTTTGACAAGTAGATCACCTACTTGGTGGATTGCATTCTGAGCATCGACATCTGTTTGTTCGTGTCCATTGCACACTCCTCATGCTGTCCGTCCCGACACGGAGATATGTGACGTCCGACTGACGAGAACTCGGATATCGTGGTCAATGCAGTGTTGGTTAGGGCTTCTCCGGATTTCCATCCCGTTCGCCAACTGAGCATCGATCACTCGTGCGAATGTCACGAACGATAGGAGAGGTGTGAGTCGACAGGCGATCGACACTATAGTGAGCTGGTAACTAGTCACTGAGTGTGCGCGTTTGTGTGCGTGAGTGGATGTGTGATGAGAGAGTGTTTTGTTGGTGTTTTGGTCAGTAGCGTGTGATGAGTAGTTGAGTGTGCAGTTCGACGAACCGTGTCAGGATGGCCGAGTGGTTAAGGCGTTGGACTTGAAATCCAATGGGGTTTCCCCGCGCAGGTTCGAACCCTGCTCCTGACGTGGCGGGCTTTTGTCCGAACATACAATTCGCCGCCTGAGACACTCACACCAGGCGAACCTCACACTCCACCCGACACACTGCGAGTGCAGGCACACACACACACACACACACGCACGCTCCGCATCCTGACAACTGAATATCCACCTCGAGTCGACCACCGACTCACAGTCAACAGACATCCACTCGTCCGAATCCAACGACAACCGTCAACAACTGCTCGAAGCCATCGTCTCACTTGCTCAAGTGATACTGCTCCACTGGTGACCGATCGAGTGGACGGATACTGACTGCACTCTATCGCTCACTGGAAACACTGCTTCACATGAAAACTGCATACCCCGACTGCACGCAGACACACGTCACCGGACACTGACTCAGTGACCGGACCCGATGCAATCACTTACTCCATCAAGTCACGTAACTTGTCCCAGATGTGTTCACAATGATTTCTCTCTCACCAGAGTAGTCTCCAACAACAACAACAACATCGCCTTGTTGGTGTGCGTCTCACCAAACACTTATGTATGTCAGAGACCAGACTGATATACACAAGTGAGTTTGTGAATACAAATTGTGTGCGATGATGCAGATCAACTGAATCTTCGTGTGAATTCATGCGGTAGTGATGGTGATGTCTGTGAGATGCAGATTGTGGAGAGAGGAGAGGAAATGTTGGAGGTCGGTGGCGAACACCAATGTGAAATCACCAGACATGAGGAACCACAGTCGTTCCATTCATCCTCCATAATCAGAATGTGTTCAGGTGAGTCAGTGAACAGAGACAACAGGAACAGACATTCCATCCACAACCGGAATCAATATGCCAACATCAGACATGACCGAAGACAGATGATCGCGTCACTCATGCAACCATCGACAACATGTTTGAACTAGACAACTTCACCTTCGTCTCCGTCCCATCCCACATCTATATCTGCTTCTCATCGCCACATTCCATCTCTCTCTCCACCTCCACCTCCACCTCCATCTCCATCTCCCACACACACACACCACACACACACACACACACACACATATACGCACACACCACAAACTAGTTTGACAAGTAGATCACCTACTTGGTGGATTGCATTCTGAGCATCGACATCTGTTTGTTCGTGTCCATTGCACACTCCTCATGCTGTCCGTCCCGACACGGAGATATGTGACGTCCGACTGACGAGAACTCGGATATCGTGGTGAATGCAGTGTTGGTTAGGGCTTCTCCGGATTTCCATCCCGTTCGCCAACTGAGCATCGATCACTCGTGCGAATGTCACGAACGATAGGAGAGGTGTGAGTCGACAGGCGATGATTTTTTTTTTTTTTTTTTTTTTTTTTTTTTTTTTTTTTTTTTTTTTTTTTTTTTTTTTTTTTTTTTTTTTTTTTTTTTTTTTTTTTTTTTTTTTTTTTTTTTTTTTTTTTTTTTTTTTTTTTTTTTTTTTTTTCGCTTGTTTTTTCTACCATTTTCGGCGCTTTTTTCGGTCTCTACAATTCGAGATTTTTCTCATAGCTTTGATTTCAAATATTTTTAAATTTTTTCGCTCTTCCTCTTTTAATTATGTTTAATCCTTCTTTTTTTATTGAGGAATTTTTTCATATTTCTTTTCGTGTATTTTTTACTGTTCTCTTTCTTCCATATTTTTGTTGACAAGCAAAATTTTTCTGATTTCAACCTCAGCAATGGCTACTCAGCATTTCCGAACTCTTTTTATTTCACCTATTTTTCCAGTGATTCCCGAAATAAATGAATGAACTTAATGTATGGATGAATTTTTTATTTTTAAATTTCGCAACATCAAAACATTGATCAAAATTATAGAATAGTCTGACGATCATTGTTATATATTATGAAACTAAAAAATATTTTTCGATACTACAGACTATCGAATGTTTATATGTTGATCATGTGTCACGTGGACAGCGTACATTGAAATTAAATAACACTTGTCAATTTTTTTTTATTTGAAACCTATTCTCGGTAATATATATCGCCTTGTAAACATCATTAATGGAGCGGCAGTCGGTGTTACATAGATTTCACCAGCACTACCAGCAACATCTAGATGAGTATAAGGAATTTGCACTTTGGCATCGAGACCATGCTACAATACAATAAAAACAGTTACAAACAATTAGTAAATACATGCAACATGAAAACATTTTCTAAGCTAATCATCATAGTGTGGTGTACGCTACTTATAGTTCACATAAGTAGTATATGATATCAAATGGAAATCAAACGTCTGACAGCCAAAGATCGAGAAGGAAAGAATGAGAACAGAAGGCGATTTGTAGGTAACGTAAAGTGAACTGAAGTCTGAACAGTCTAAATGTGAAAGAACACTGAAATCTAAAACAAATAAGGATTCGTTTGCAAATGATGATTCACGGGAAGGTTTTGCAAATATGCCTAACAACTCTGTAATATTCGCTTAGATATATTATTGATGTTCCTCACCTGGGTTTTCGTGCACAACAATAGTATGTAGTGACGAATCATTACTTCATGTGCATAGATTATGAGCCATACTTGTTGGTAGTTAATAATGATGATTCAAACAAGCTTACTGACCAGTTTTCTTTAGTCAAATTTCAAACCAAACAATGGTTACAGTGTAATTTGACTAACAAATAAGTTCACACTAGAGTTGTAATTCAGCAGTCAAGATAATTAGTTTAAAATTCACGACTTATATGTTGAAATTCCGCTTCATGATACTCGGTCATTTTTGTCCAGGTTGATCTGCAGATCAATCGCAGTTTAAAGCATTTTATCACTGTGTTTCTTAGACTAATGGGAAAAACCTCAACTTCAAGTTTATTGCCAAAAGTCAATGCTTAGGTCGCTAGGTTGTAGATGAAGTAGCATATACAGAGTAGGGAAATATAATTGAGATTGTGACTGACAACTCTTCTTTGAATACTGATAAACACATCATAGCACAACCAACTTCATTTGAAAGCATACACCGAGATTCTGTTAGACTGTAGAATTAAGATGCCACATAGTTTAGCTTTTTGGAATCGAGAAAGTAATTTAACACCTGTAATAGATGTATTAAAGTTCGGAAGTCGAACAACTAGCTTACTTTCTCTTATACCAATTGGCCTCCTCGTTCAAACCGTCTGTCAATGACAAACAGTATATTGACAGCATCCATAATTATTTTATGTAGTAACAATTGCACCAGTTGAAAATCAATGAGAAAATACAACATCGTAGCTTTCTTCCTAATTATAAGTAATTTTTCCGAAGAAGCTCAAATTAATATAATCTATTGAACATTCAACTAGTGAAAACAGTGTTGGCTAAAATAAATATATCAATTCACTATGATAATACAAACTGAATAAGCTGACATAATTAAAGGTCGTATCATTTTCTGGCTTTCATTAAATGATTAACTCACAAATAATACTCACTGTTATGACATTGTTACAAAAAGGTAAAACTATCTACAGTTCAAATAGCGAAATTTCATGAGAAAAATTTGTCTTGATAATTTCATCCATTTGTATGAATAAAGTGTGGAGATCAAGCAAATGCACATGTATCATCAGGTTTCAGGTTGCATAAAACTGACCGACTTTCTGACTAAATCTTTCATGACAATGTCAATTTTGATTAAAAATTATTGACTCACAAAGATAGAAAAACATATTGAAGACAATTATCGGCTACTGACTTCTTTCTGCAGGTTACCGCATGTAGCATATTGTCTAAACATGTGAATCAGATGTAAATCTCAATGAAAGCGACAAATAAACAAAAAGCAATCCTCAACACTCACCTTATTTAAACCACTAGCAACAATTAAAAATGCCACTGGCATTTGATGACCCCGTGGTGTAGAGCTGCTCGGTAAATTGTTACACTGTAATAGGTCTTCATATTCACTTTTAGGTTTGTTCATAGCATAATCTTCTTTACGAATAGTAGAGATCTGATTTTTTTTATGTGAAGAAAACATTATCATATAGATACTGTATTAGAGTTATGTCAATATTTATTGCCTAGGTAGTAGTTCTACAATGAGAGTTGAACTACTAGATTTAAACTACATGGAAATGATTCTATTTACGTCGAAACATCTGAAGATATATATCGTATTTGATCATGAAATATTTCCAAACATTAAAAACTGTAACAGGAAAGTTGTTTTTAGCTATGGAGTACTCAATGTAGAGGAACAACTAACTAACAAACCAATCACATTTAAGATGATGGCAATTGGATTTTCGAGCCTAACTTAAAATACAATAACTAAGTAAGAAAGAAGTAGAACCAAGGAGCTTAATGTTTTTAAATATGAGAAATTTAAAGAAAAAGGATTATGGTTTATGAAGTCATGAAAGAAACTAGAAGATCAGACAACTAACTGCATCAGTATGCATGTATACGTTTGAAAGGAATTTTCCCACTCAACAACGATCATTATTATTGTTAACATTTATTCCCATTCCTCACTCGCAACCATGTAACTTAATTCTAACATTACATTCTTATTGGCTAAGAATTGGATTATCAAGGTCATTTGTGGAAATTATCAATAAAATGTATTCTACCGAAGCATGCTTGTAAAAGCTAGATACTCCTGTTACGTTTATTATTCATAAATGATGATGGATAGTAAATTTACCAGTCATGCACAAAGAAACTGTAAATGTAACGTCACAGTGTGAAACTAATTAAAGTAAGATTTTAGTGGAGTTATTTTCTTAACTGGATTGCATAGCTTTAAATCTTTCAACGAAAACCTAAGGAAGAATAAAGGCACTGGAATCTTCTTAGGTAACTAATAGCTTGTTCTACAAACAATAATTTCAACTGGTTGTTTCTAACAAAGGCCCTATTATAGTTTGAACACTTATGTTGATCTCTTCGATTTTACCCCTGGTCTTAGAACTGTTTGCAGTTTTAGTTATTACTTGATGCGTTAAGTCATGTGCGGCATGTTTTTTGGTTGCTTCAGAACATCTCTGATGTTGGCTATGTCTAAAATTTCAACGATTACTCATCCCAGACTGTATATCCACCACTAACTAAATACATTGATATAAACGAAGATATATTGTGACATCCGACTTCAAATTGGTGTCTCTACAAATGTGAGAGATGGGATCCTTGTTTCATGCTTCGTTTTTCAAAATTATGCAAGTTTATTTCGTAGAGTATGTTGACAATCCGATTCATTAGTCCATTTGATTACGTTGATTGAAGTAATTTTAATGGTATATGTGACGCCAACTTAACTTAATAACTTAATAATCTGGCTGTGATTTCTTATGCCTTTCATGTATAGTACGGTAATCACTCTGTTGATTTTCATATTTTATTTTGCGCTTGTTCATGAGTTTCATAAACGCTTCACGATGAAATTTCGTGGGGTGGTTAACCTTGTAAAAAAAGCTCACAAATTTTTTTATAGTTTCTCTCTAAAGTAAATGTACTAAAATGTGTCCTCACTATTCCAAACATGGTTTGTACTCATCAGATAAAATTCACAACTAGAATAGGAACAATCCTACGGAATCCGAAATTTGATTGTATATATCCCAAACTGCATCTCTTTGCTTTTTTTTCAGTTTCAGGTTATACTACTGTTAGTAAGCAGATTGAAATAAACGAATTTTCATGCACATAACCTTCAATTTCCTGTACAGTTACAATCAATTTTTATGAAATTAAACAAGAAAAGAACGAAAATCAAATGAACTCAGTACATCTAATAATAATTGTTGTCACTGTTCATCACACAGTCCCTCATTATTTGCGACACTTTAAATTAATTTGAAAATAAAACTTACCTCAGCAATATCAGAGATTAAATCACCAGAATTTTGTAATTCCTTCGACACGTTTTTAACTCGCGCTGGACCATTATCCATTACTGCCTGTAAAAATTAAAAGGAAAACTTTAAATCGGCCTGTCATACAACTATTCTATCCTGGAAATTCTCAAAAATGGTGTGAAAAAAAGTTATTCTCCTATGAAAAATTTTAATGGTGTCTGTTTTCCTTAGGCTTCTGTGACGAAGAAGAAAAAGAGATTAATTAACAAACACTTGAATAGTCAGAGATTCTGTGAATGCATCCTGTAGTTTGGATTGTGGGTAAATTTTGTCTTCTTCCAACCTATTCTTATTTGAATATTGTTGTGTGATGTAGGTGAAAGTTCAATTGTTTAGCTCGATAGTGAACAAATTTTTAGGTTTCGTTTCATATTTGTTGGAACCAAACAATACTCAAATCTTAAACGTAAATCAAGTGCTCTTAAAAATTCGGAATTTCAATTAACTGAAGACATTGCCAGCATAATTACGATTAATCTACCTGAATAATGGATGAACAAAAAAACTGTAGACACATCATAATGATTGCATCTTAAAATGCAAACTGCGTTATAAACTGCTTCTCTCAATTGGAAATCAAACACTTATTTCCAATCTAAGAAAATTTGTATTGATTACTGAAAGCAGGAAAGTATTCACCATAACAGATACAACTCAGAATAATCGTAAATGCCAAGAATGATGATGAATCAATTTAAAGTTTTAAATTTACCGTGAAATTTTTGTAAGCACGGATTACATGTCCTGTCAATGTGGCCATAGTGAATATAAATGGATTTTTAGCTGTAAGTGCCTATAGAAAAAAAAATCAAGCATATAGGAATTAAGGAGAATATCAATGATTAGATATGAAATAATTTGTCTAGAGAAATCGATTATTTAGTTGGCCTTAAATAAACTGAGGTACAGATCACAAATACTTATATGAATTTGAATAATATATTATTTGTCTGTCCATACTATAGTATTGAATTATTTTCAATACATTTTCAATACAAATGTCAAGACAGTTCTACTGTATGGAGCGGAAACATGGAGAACTACGAAAGGCATCATCTACAAGATACAAGTGTTTATTAACAGTTGTCTACGTAAAATACTTCGTATTCGTTGGCCAGACACCATCAGCAACAACGAACTGTGGGAGAAAACAAACCAGATTCCAGTGGAGGAGGAAATCAGGAAGAAGCGGTGGAGTTGGTGGATAGGACACACACTACGAAAAGCACCTAACTGCTTAACGAGACAAGCTTTCACATGGAACCCTCAAGGCAAAAGGAAAAGAGGAAGGCCAAGGAACACATTACGCCGAGAAATAGAGAAAGATATGAGACGAGTGAACAAACATGGGACAGAACTGGAGAGGGAAGCCCAGGACAGAGTTGGTTGGAGGAAACTGGTGGGCGGCCTATGCTCCATTGGGGGTAACAGGTGTAAGTAAGTAATACTATAGTATTGAAATAAACTAACTGTATACTTTTCCGAGATTCTAAGATAGTTTAAACTGAATAAAATTCAAGCATCTAGACCGTCATTTCAGAAATCCATTCATGTTCTAGTAGAATGTATTGTGATTGTTAAGTTTTTTTATATCCTCCTTAACTGATCACATGAGTATACTTTCTCGTCTGTGTTGACCAATCAAATGCTTTAACTTATAGTAATCAACCTTGAGCAACGATTGAGATTATCTTAACTCTTACTTGTACATAACGCATACTGCTTTCAATCTGCAGCAAGAGAACACAGAGGTAGGCAAACGTTTATCTGTATTCGATCAACTAGTCATTATTCACACTCAAGAGTTATAGACATGAATCATCAGACCATATCACATCGTATATGAAAAAGCATAGTCTACGTACAACTAATACAAAGCTGATCAAGAACGGAATCTGAGGTGATGAATAAATTGATAATAATTAAAGATTTGTAAAACGGATAACAATAACTGATGGATCCAACAGAATCTTACAATGCAAGAAATATGGAAACACAACAATCCTGTTAGCTAAAAACTATACGATAAGAACAGTTTTCTATAGAATATTTTCGAAGTTACAACCTCTCTAATATTCACTTGGAAATGACATAATGAAGTGATTCCGCATGTCTCGATCGATTCATACATGTAAGATATGTAAGTCCAATTACGCTTATATTAAAGTAAAAATACTGGTAAGAAATACAAAAACGAGAGAGGATGGTGTGACATTGTTGAACATTTTGGAAAATATATCGATGATCATAGTACTGTCATTTTCACGCAACTCCTACAAAATCAAGGCAATGCTTCAACGAAATGTTTTACTGACCATTGATCAAGATAACTAACCAGTGGGGAGTATTCTTCTCAATACTAGTAGTGAGTTTTTAGCTGCAATGCATATTGAATATCAAGAAAACAAGTAAATATTATAACTACTAACCTTTTCTTTCGCTTCGCATAATAAGTCAGCCATTACTGTCCTACCTTCAGCATCTGTATTACCAATACGTACACGTTGGCCAGAGCGTGCAATGATTATTTCATCAGCAACATAGGATTCAGCTCCAACGCTATTTCGTACAAATGCCAAAGCGGCTGAAACACTTATACCATTTGGTTGTAACAGTCCAATTGTTTTCATGATACCAACTATTGCTGCAGCCCCACACTTGTCTCGATGCATTCCAGCCATAATTCCACCGGCTTTAATATCAGCTCCACCAGTATCAAAAGTGATCCCTTTACCGACAAGAAATAGCGATGTGTCGATCTCTTTGAAATTTGACGGTTTGTAATCAATGTGAACAACTCTGCCATCATGACGAGGTACAACTGAAGCGAGAAAAAAAATGTTTATTATTGTTTTAATAAAATATCTTCAATTGAATGACAGAAAAATTAGCTACATACTCAAAGAATTTTCAAAAAAAGAAACTGAATATGAATGTTACTCTGTATAATTACTATATTATACCACGTTATTATCATCATTATCATTAATATTATATTGCCACTTTTATATTCTAAGCTTGAACAAACAGTTTTTGATAAGAGTTTTCTATTGTATCAATGCCATGTTTAAGTGTTGTGTGTTCATACAGACGAGTGCAACGGTTAGTGAGATCACGGGATTTTATTCAGTTTTCATTAGTTATGTGAAGATTTTTACTAGTAACAGTAATCTTGAGCGTTATTGCTTCCAATTCAACCTTCAGCATAACCTTTACTCCTTTCTGATCGGTCGTCACTACTTCAAGTTAGCTTGCTTTCTGTATTCTTGAAAACTATGCTTTTGTCACGAATACAATATACAAAGTTGTACGTACCATTTCAATTTATTTCTGTTTGAACATCAAATTTTTCCAACATTTCACTTATTTCCTTTTGTACGCTTGTCAATCATCTACTTTTGTAGTTTTCAGCGACTTAGTCACTTGATATATTCTAGGCTCGATTAAATAAATTTTGATGAACAACTAAATGGTTTTATAACCGAGTGATGCTATTCATTTAGGTATTTCCATATTTTAGTAGCACCGTAGTGGAAAAGTTGATGATGGATAAGTGCTAGTGGTGGTATGAGTGATGAGATCAGTTCACATAAAGTGAAAACCGAAACGGCCCACCTCAATCTGACCCACCTTTGAAGCCTTTATGATGCTAACTAATTTGGCTGTAAAAGGTTGAGTCTACAATGCACTGGTGAGGACAGTTCAGTTCAATATCTGTAAAACCTTATCTCTCCGAGTTGAATATATTAGGAAACTTTCAGTGTTCGACTAGTGTTGTCTCCAAAGGGTTCCTGAAATTCAGTAACAGCACTATGTTAGTAAAGCAGAGGTTCGGCAACATATTTTTGAGCACAACAACGATAATTCAGTTCGTATCATCATCTTGAAACACCGACTTCGGTGGCTTGGGCATGTACTAAGAATGCCATCCCAGTGAATTCCACATTGTATATTATTTACCCACTCTGGGATTGGTTTTAATGAGTGAAGAGGTAGTCAGTGAATGAAACGGTGTCACGGTATGAAAGGAGGTTGTACAGGACTGACATCTGTTGGTCTTTCACTACTCCCTGGTTGGGATCCTGAAAAATGGTACAACTCAGGCAGGGTTCGGAATAGAAGCTAGTGGCGATCCTGTTGTAACTTTGCTCTATTTTGTTCACACAAGGAAGACAAACATCTTTAGCTAAAACGATTCTTTCTGACTGGATTTTTCCCAACTGATCTGTTGCTCACTCTTATACACTAATTCCTATCCTTCTTTGTTATACTCATAGTTCTCTATCTCTTTACAACCTCATTTTTTTTGTGTTGATGCCTCTTTGTACCAATGTTTATATTTTAAATAAATAAATAGGATAAACTACCATATCCTACCTAACGATGTTTTGATTCTACCTAACTGATTTGCTGACAGGAGCTATACAAAAATCTAAACCACAACATTTAAGATGTTACAATGCTCACTGATACTTCTGAAATAGTGGGGACTAGAAGAGAAAAGAACATTTGTAGTATCTAATTGAAAATGGAAATGATTATTGTTAGTGCAAGACAATTTTTTTTAAAAAAGCTGATGTATTCAAAGTATAAGTTGAGCAAAGAAATATTTCTTTTCGAATGATTCCTTGTGATTGACTCTAATATATGCGTTTTATAACTGAGTATAAAATCAATGAATAATGATGATTTTTCGGGCAGAGTTTTGGAGGTTCGTGTTTTTACACATTTGAAATCATCATTCAATCATTGTTAGACCACCATCAGAAACCTGGTATGGATCACATACCAGGACGAAACGGCCGTCCAATGCTTCCAGGTTTCTAATGGTGGTCTAACAATGATTGGTTGATGATTTCAAATGTGAATAATAATGAATTAATTGACAGTAATTATGTTAATATTTTCCCTAAAAATTATGATCCTCAAGTAATTTCATAAAGGGAAAAATTAGGAATAAAATTACGCAATCAGGTGATTATCACACATAACCAGGTAAGATTATAGATTGTAAAGCGGAAATTTATCATCTGAATGTAAATGCTCAGTTATTTGTATAAATAAAAATCAATACCAAAAAAATCCACTAATCAGATTGTTTACCTACATTACGTAAGAATAATGTTAGTTATTAAAATTGAATGAAATCGAGATGTATCATCGTGAGTTTAACGATAAAATAAAAGATTTTTCCGTTCACCACAATATACTACTATAATACACTAATGAAATCTGGACACAAGATTGTATGAACACTAAAATGTATACTTGATAAATAATACAATAGATGTAAACAGGAATCACGTTACGATAGACAGAATTAGCAACCAAAAAGGCAGAACCTGATTATAGCCCGAACATTAGTGTATTTCTAAAAAAACACTAGCAGTTTACACACATACAATCCTGAGTAGAAATCATTTTCTTTCACATAGTCTACAAGTACATAGAAGTTTACAACTAGAAAAGCCCGTTTGTCTTCGTCTAGTAGCCAATCACAGATCACTAACGCCTATCATGATAGTTTCATTGAAAGCAGATCAAGTGTCAAGGTTTTAAAAACAAATTCGAGTAGGAAAATTTCAACGGACAGAAGAAACTCACCTGATGCTGCTCTATTAACCGCTGCCATTAATGGATATTTCTTAACATCAACCTTATCGACAGTGACTGTAATACCTGGAAGACCATTTAGAGCATATTGTACGTATTCTGCAATTTTCGGGGCAGCCATTCGTTCAGGATCTGAACCACCAATATCTCGTGCTAGTGTTCGGCCTTCTTCAATAGCTTTAGCAATATTTAATGAGAATTCATCAACCTCCATCACTCCAAGTCGAATAGCTTTGGGAAATTTCTCAGGTAGCATTTCGCGAACTTCAAGTGGCTAAATCAAGTAATTTCAACAAATATGTACGGACAATAATGATTATTTTAAAAACGATTGGTCACTTTCATAAGACACTGATGAACATTGATTTTTGAAGGCCTGTTCAATTCGACAACTAAATTTAGTTGAATAATCACTGAACTCAATCAAGGAAACGCTAAAGACACTTATCTGGTTCATTAGTTTGTCAGTCAAAACAAATGCAGAATCTGGACAATAAAGAAATCGGTTCGAATTCCCACACCATATCAGCATAGTGAGATGAAATAATCCCACAATAAAAATCGTAACAGTATCAGTGGTGGTAGGAAACAGTAAATACACACAATATAACTCGAGAAGTAACGAAAACTTTATTTCATTTTGGGAAAGTGTTCAGCAAACTTAGCAGATACTCTTGACTAAAAGTACATATAGTGCTCAAACTTGGTAAATACACTTCTCTCCGACCTTCCTAAATACATGACTTTTGAAATAAATATTACACTCCTCTTAGATCGCTCATCTTTTCATACTGTTTTCGCCAAATTTTCATTTACTTCTAAAAAAAATTGCAACTAATTAATCAGTTATTTTTAATGGACACATCAGTCAGTCAGTTGCAACGTAGAACTTCGTACGTATGAACATAAGTTCATGTTGCCATACCACATTAGCACAAAGACGCAAATGTCAAACCAAATGCCATAGTGATAAAGATAGTGGAGGTATGAATGGTAATGAAGAAGACTAGGGTTCGAAGATATTATTCAAGAAGTATAATTAAGTGAAATAAGGTTAGAAAGACAAAGGTAGAGGTGTTGACGATTCCAGAAGATTAGAATTTGAGAGAGCTCAAAGAATGGATGCACTTGCGCCATTGCAAGCGATTTTGAGCCATGTCGTTCAAGGTCTCTAACCATTGATGACTTTCGTCTCGTGGAACCCAACCAGGTAGCCTACATCTACCAACATGACTCAGTCTACTTGTCAGTGACTTCACGGATTTCTGCCATGTATTGGTTTGGCCACCACTAGCTTTCTTCCAACCTACTCCTACACCACAAAACATAGTTCGTCGAGGCAGTCGGTGGTTAGGCAAACGTAACACCGTAACAGCACACGAGACCAAATTGGTCAAAATCAAATCCTTCCTACACCCCCTAATACCTCTCTTATCTCCACGACTAATGGGCACATAATATCCACTAAATTACTTTTTATACAAATAGGATAAAAAAATATGTAAGGAGAGATTTCAAAAAAATAAAAAATAAAACTTACTGTATACAATGCATGATATGCTCCCAATACAGCATTAAACAATAAACAATTACGTTCAGATCATTGAGAATCTTTCGGTGCTGATACGAAAGAGCCACAACATAATAATGGTGATTTACAACCTATGCTTAGTACTCTATTTAAATACAAAACAAAAAGCAAAAAAAAGAGGTTTAAATTATGAAAGGTTAGTATTACTGAATTTAAAAAAGAGGATAAATTGTTACATAGTCATTATTAACACGTATATTCTTCAATGTATTACATAAGCTGTTACCTACAGCTAACCTCGTCGATGATATCAACCACAAATAGTGAATTCACATTTGTCTAAGTTATCATATTTTATAATAAAATGAGTACAATCAATTGTAGTAGAAAATTGTAACTCATCAAGGACCGGATGAAATCTGAATGTCTGAGAATTAGGAATTTAGGGAAGATAAAAAACCCAGGTATTTATGCCTCATTAATCAGTTTCTTAAATATTATTGCTGACATTGTGTCATTCAGTTATGAAACATTGAAATTACACTCAATAATAGACTACTGATTAAACTAATACAAAGTAACATTCTTGATTAACTAAATAATAAAATTATTGGGTTGTGTAAAATACGGGGAATTTGTGGAACAAGACATGGAAGTGAACAATAATGGTTTACAGTTAGATTTTCATCCCGTTTTACTCTAATACAGAAAGATTTTCATATGCAGATGTGAATAATATTTAACTCATGGGGTTCATTTGTTGATCATCAATAACAATGATGTAGATTGCACAATCTTGATCCTGGGGTGTATTGTATTGTAGTTCTGTCCTAGTATAGGACTTCTCTGTGGTACTCACCAGCGACTACTGAGGCCGGAATCGAACCCAAACACTGTACCTCTGGATGACTGACCTGGGATCCAGTGCTGTACAAGTGTAACTTACATCAATCTGTGATAGTGCAACCTGTCACCTAAGTGTGCTTTGTGTTGGATTAGCTTGACCTTTGACATACCACGATGAGGGATGCACATTAATTCGTAGACTGGTGATATATTTAGCACGATTTTCTCCGCTGAAGCAGTTAAGCGGTATATAAAGAGGTAGCAATACCAAATAATTTATCCTTTGTTTTAGCATAATAGGAATATGACCGCTCATCGGAGTAAAATCTAATGAGAATTTAACTAAATGACCAGTCAATAGCAATTAATGCTAAGTATGTCTAGTCCCCAATGTTGAATGAATTCTACCGACCAAATTATAGTGTAGTAACTGGGTTAAGTGACTCAACGATATACAGACTGCCTAAACCGAAATGGAGCAGAGACAAGACATAGGACTTCGTAACCGAAAGTCGAAAGCCTCATGCACAGAATTGATAGTACTATCCGGTTGACCAAATCGAGGTCACTGGAAGGTGGTTCGAACCTGTGACCTACTGGCTGAAATCACGATACGATATGGCTATAAAAATGTAATCATCATTTATATTCGTATTCAATGAAAGGTTAATGTATGTACTGACATAGTGAAAAAAGTTAATATAGGCCTTACTTTAACATGCCATTCACAGCAGCATCATACACATTGCGAACGTCCGCTTCATCTGTATTTAACTGACCAGTTGGACTAAATATCTGAAATAACATTTGGAAGTTTCCTTTTTAACTAGTAGAAAAAACACTGACTTACTATATTAACAATCTTAAATTGAAATCAAGACTTAAAATGATACTAAGACTTTTGTGCTCTTTAACAGGCAATAAACAAACAGAAATTGCACAATAAGTAGTAGATACTATCTATTATAACTTATAACTTGTAGCTTATTGAGTTTTTAAAAAAAAATGCACACTGATCCAGTATACATTAATGCTAATATTCAGATTAGATGAATTGCAAAAATTGTATGAAAATCACTAACTACCTAGATGGTAGATATTTGATTACGATTCATGTACCAATCTAGTAAAACCTACAGAATACAATTATGACAGTTTTATTGATCAGAATTTGAGGACTAAATATATTAAATAAGTTCAGTTTATTAATAGGTTTATTCTAAGTAATAAGGTAATTCACCAGGTTAAATAAATTGGTGGTAACTCATTTAATTTCAGTACTCAGTTCAATACTAGAAAACCATTAGTTTAAATCAGTCTGTATATATAGGAATAGATCAGAACAAATATTGAAATGGGAATTTGAACGAAAAATACTTAGAAGACAGAAGTCATTAGTCAACGAAATGAATATAACTTGGGGAATTGAAGCGACTAGGGAGACATTAAATTTACAAATTACTGATTGATTAAGTTATAAAATAATCAATGAAGCTTACATCTTTTCCATTATAACAGATATTTACTCAGAAATATTTGAATATGAATAGAATGATTAGCACTACTATTCAAGTACACGTACATATTTGATGAATATTGACAATTTAAAAAAAATCAAAAAACGATTGATTTTCATACTACACATTTAAACTGAATTAAACTTAACAAATAATCAATTTAACAAAATGTACATTTTCGATTTCAAATAAGACAACAAAAAAACAAACTGTGAACATAGAATACATTCATAGAAAATATCACTTACTAATCTTTTTGATGGATGTTCAGGGAATGGAATCACACTGACTTCATCGGAAAACTTAGGATTGACCTTAAGAAGTGAAAATGAAGAAATAATCATTTTAGGGATAGTTATAAATTCACTAGATTCACTCAAAATAGCTGAAAACTTGATATCACAGAATATATTTTAAGTTTTATGAAATCCATAAGAATTTAATACTTTTAGAATACTCGCCTAAACTGCAATCGATGTTTAGTTGAAAAATAGACTGATTTAGCAGTTGGAAATAGATATAAGTTTTGAAATATTGTTTACATTTACAATGAATCGGTTTTTTTAATATACAGCCTATAAACCTACGTTTAATAGGTTACAAATCGGATCGGTTGTCAAAACTGGTGTGGTGCGCGCTACTTATAAGTAGTATATGACGCGAGTGTAAACGTAATGTCTGGCAGCAGAAGATGGGGGAAGATCAAGAAAGGAAGAGTGGGAACACAATGGAATTTGTATGAAACGCATGAATAGTGAAATGTCAGACAATGGATTGATGATGGATTGAAGATTTGCAAATCAACGGTTACGATATGGTTTTCCTATTTTACTGAGTAACTCTGTAGTTTTCGTTAAATACAATTCAGTTGCCCTCACCTGTGTTCTCCTTCACTACACTAGTAGTTCATACAAAGAGACATGTAACTAATGTATGACTTGAATACATGTATACGTATACAATAGAATTGCTTGCATCAATCTATTAATTACAGTGGATTGATTGACTATCAATGCAGAAATTAGCTTTGAAACATGAACATGTATTTGATATTTAAGTCCATGATTAAATAGTTAGGAATATGCGCTAAAACTGAATCAGCTCAGACTGCATCGATTGTGTGATGTATGAATACAAAAGAGTTTATTAATAAATGTGTCGTCTTCAACAAACAGATAGCTGATAAAAATGTAAACCGCTGAACACTCTCTCGTTGTGAATCAGTACAAGAACATAAGATATTCAGAAGATGAAAACGAAAGCAGGAAAATAAAAACACAGATGAATGAATAAAAATACCTTAGATTTGAAGAGATAATGGTATTTTTACAACTGTAACCTGTACAACTGTATCATCTAGTGGAAATTCAGCAGATTATGAAGATAACTAATGTAAATGAAGACAATGAGTAATTAATTTGATAGCTTAATATTTATTCAGTAGATAAATTTGAAATACTAGGTAGATTTTATGCAGGTATACCAGCCAGAAACTGAACAATACACTTGACGCGTATGCACGGCATCAAAAGTATCGGGTAATAACTTAAAATGTAGGGAATTAGTCCTAATGAATCGTATGTATAATTTTTTTATTTAGACTTTAGGAGAAACAGTAATTTACAGATACCAAATTTGCTAACTATTACGATTAGATCATGTTTAGTTCGATTGACTGTGAAAACAAACAGTACTCACCTCAGAGAACTCCTTCAAGGACTTGTGAGCTAGTTGTAATGCTGTTGGAAAATGTTTTATATCATCATTTAGCAGCAAAACCGCATCATAAGATGGATCCGTCAGACTGGAAACTTGGAAAGCAGAAGTTACGACGCTAACAGACATTTTCCTAGTTGGTAAAATTTCGCACATGGCATGCAGTTTTAAATGATAAGTTAATGCATTTGCCCAATCATATGCATGCAAAATCGACCAATTAAATAATGCTTTAAACAGTCGGCCAATCATAATATGATTTTAAATTATTGACTTGTTTGTTAGCAGCCAAGTCAAGCAATGGGAAATACGGCGAGTCATCTAGGATATAATTTCTAAACCGATCGATAAGTGGTTTTAAATTTAACTGTTTCCAGTGCATTAGCTATTAATTCGACCATAAAATTAGCCGAAGAATCTATGGAACAATTTTCATTATGCTGCACAACACAAATCAAAGCTATTTTAATATATTAAAATCCCTTATAGTATGAATTACGACAATGTATATAAGCTAACGACATTTTTGTACTAAGATCTTCATCGCGATTATGTTGGCAATATAGCGAAGAGTAGATCCCAGAAATTAGGAACAAAAGTAATGAAATCACTCGAACATCAAAAACTGAAAGGAAAGTTCCTTATGAACCCTAAAGCGGTACGCTCACAACTTCTTCAGCGTTACGTTAGATCTAGTATAATCGTAGGCATCATGGCTTGTCCCCAGATTCTATGGCTACGGAAATAGAGTGTGTCCACTATATACTCACATGCAGTCTGAGAATTTATCTTCACAAACTTATTTGGTTCTAACCTGACTAAAGGAACCAATTAGATTTAAGAACACGTTGGCTGACATCTTCCTCCAATACAAAATTATATTAAATATATCATTAAATCCCCGCTCAACAAACAACGCTGTGGTAGTTTACATAAGCTTTAGAAATAACTCTCTGATGATAAGCAAGCAAGATAAAGAACAGTCCTAAACAAAACGGATTATATCGACAACATAAGTTCGATTGCGAATAATCAAAGTGGTTAGTTCAAATCATTCATCCCTTATACCAATGAGTAGCTAATGAAAGCATTAAAGATGTTTTCGGTTACATTTCTAAGGTGGGACATTTGAACTTCCTTGTTTACCAATGTGCCATGAACTGAAATAATTGACTTGGTGTGTCAATAACTACTCGGTAAACAAATCAATATTGAAATTTCCGAGATTAGATTCAATGAAATACACAATAAACGTTCAATTTTCTTTGATAACACTTATTATAGAAAAATCGGTGGAGTAGCGATGGGTTTAACTCTAGGTCCTATTTTTTGCCGACTCTTTTGTAAAACTAGAAAACAAATCTCTCAAGGAGATTACTGATAAGCTTGACTTTTATAACTGTTACGTTGATGAGACTTTCATTATCTTTGACGAGAATATTGCAGAAGCAGAACAATAAGAACGATTTACCAAAATAAACTCAGCAATCAGGTTTACGTGTGTTAAAAAATATTTCATTTCCTTGACTTTTTTTCAGACGGAAAAGAAAAATGGCTGTGTGTAGATGTGTGTATGGAAAATGTTCTTTATGTCAAAACACACATTTCTTGAGCTTGGTACTCATTCGTTACAAGTGAAACTTAGTTAAGTTTCATGCTTGTAGAGCTATGAGGATTTACTTGGAAGAAACCATAAACAATAGATGAGAGCTCATTGATAATATGTTGATAGAAACAGATTTTCCACCAGGTATTTTGGAGAGACACTTCCATAGAATGGACTGACATCGATTGTTAGTAAGAAAGTTCTCTTCATGAAGCTCTAATTCAACAGAGGTATATCTAGTGATATGCTGCGAAATACATTGTTTTTCAAAGGATGACTATTTCGTTGAGTGGTGATGGTGGGAGGAAGTCAATAACAAATCTTCAACCGAGGTTCAATGATATTTGGCATTTGTCAGTACGTTTTATATGTATTCATGAAGGAACTGATTGCTAGTCAGCTTAATAATCTCAAGATAGTTATTGATCGTTGACATCAATCATAGCATGCTTAATTCATTTATCACAATTTTGATGTAAATCGATCTGTTTTTAAATTCATTAAAGTAGGATAATTTAAAAATTAAAAATAATAATATCGAAAGAAGTCTATAGTAGTTAAATGATGAGATTATCATCATGTTTTAATCTATTTCATCATTCATTGTTTACCTGTCAAAATAGGTGTAATAACAAATGCTACTGATGCAGTGATAATAAGGTCAAATAAAAAATAAGGTCATCAGTGGGGAGTGAAGAAAATACTCTAACTTGAGTCATGTGATATTTAATGCATAAGGTTTGATTAACTATCAGACCGGATTAAGCATTTTATCCGGTAAGTGTGAGCACATGTGTGTGTGTATGTGCGTATGCTACAGTTTTAAATGACTCAAATTAACTCAAAAGCAGATTGTCGAATTGACCCCATAACCGATTTCTCTTTAGAACTCAATGTTTTCAAATATAGTTTGTTTTTACACATTTGAAATCGTCAGTCAATCATCATTGTTAGACCACCATTAGAAACCTGGAAGTTTGTTTTACTTTATCCCTTAAAAATTCTACAATCTGAAGAAATCAAGTGAAGAGTAACTTAAATCCTAGCGCTGTAAGCGCTATAAGTTTTCATGGTTTCAACATGCATATTATTTCAGATATAATAGTCTTGTGGGAATTTGATTTGTGTATTCAATTCATTCCTGTGTAGAGGGATTTCCAAACTAATATTCATTATCAAAGGAAATTAACAGGACAATCACTAAAAAGTTGTGAGGCACTAGAAATAATTTTTACATCACGTTGTTTGTGAAGATTGTTAGATTTTATGATTTTTATCATGGATGAACCTTAGTTAACAACTAAGACCAAGAAGCACCTAATAAATGTTTCACTCTATTATGAGAGCATCGAAGATCTTAGGCTTCCCAGTGAAAGCTTGTCATATATAAGCCTGAGTCAGTATCCAATGGTGTATATTTCTCACTTCAGTTGATTTACAATACTGAGTAATACTTTATCCATCCTGGTTTAGCACTCAGTATCACATAATCAAAATAGATGGAGTCCTAAATTCCAATCAACTAATTGTAAATGAGAAAGATATACAATGTCGTTAATAATAACCAAAAAAAATATACTACATTGTAAATAATAGAGAGAAGTCTAAAATCTTAATCACAGAATGCAGACTTTTTATTGTTTTCTGATCCTAATGTTTTCGATTAGGTGAAAAACATGAAAGAAGTGCTTACAATTAAACAAGAGGCACGGTAAACTGACATAAATTTTAATTTAAACGGTGAAATTGGGTTCATCATTATAATGTATCGCGTCTTTTATAATTTGCCGAATGAATTTTTGATTGTTTAGACGAAAGAAGAGAATGTTGATTGGTGATAATATATTTGCTAATGTGTTAGCATGCATTTGACACTTGATTTATTATACTTCTACGTAACCTTAGTAGTAAATTTTCATTTACCACATCAACAATTATACTTGTGTATGCAGTAACTACCAAAGACAAATGGGTGAGGTCGCGCAAAATCCGTAGATCAATCAGAGTTAGACATGAACACCGTTGGATGCCGGCTCAGTTGTCCGATGGTTAGGCGTTCGTACACAATACCGAAGGTCCCGGGTTCGAATCCTGCTAGGTGCGGGAGTCGTGGATGCGCACTGCTGATGAGTCCCATACCAGGACGAAACGGCCGTTCAGTGTTTCCAGGTTTCTAATGGTGGTTTAACAATGATTGATTGATGATTTCAAATGTGCAAAAACACAAACCTCCAAAGCTCTGCCTGAAAATGTAAGTGTGACACTGCATCCTGCAACAACTAAAGTTAAGTAACGATTTCGGTAGTTAAGTCACTACCATTGAGTTATTGGCTGAAAGAAGTTGATTGTATCACCACTAGTTTACAGGTTATTGTTCTTGTACAAGCAATCTTGGTGGACAAACAATAGTCGGGTTAGAGATAGTACAACTATCCCTAATAAGAGACAGCCTCAATACATGCAAAGTACCCATCCTTTATCGCCATCACATCACAATGATAAAAGATGGTCAAGTGATTGCTACTTACAAAACTCAATTATTGATGCAAACCCCTTAATCGAACTGGTATCAGAAGATAAGACAGCTTTCCAATAAAATAAGTCTTTCTCCTTGTAAAATAACTTGCTTATTTACATAATAAGTAACGTAAGAACAAACATGTTTAGACGTCATTTAACTAATGAGCAACTGAAAGACTGGTCCACCAAGGTGTGTTGGCACTACGGGCTTGAGCCGAACTGTTCACACTGAAATGCTAACACGTGAGCAGTCTCTTTGGTTCTCCTGAAAACCAATGTAAAACTACCCTTCAAAATAGAGGGTTAATTTATATGATAAACTGAAAGATGCAACAGAGAAATACTTCTCATACTCTCCAGTAGAATTAATGTCTAAGTATCATCAAATTTAATTGTTGCACTTCAACATTATCTGTCATCACTAAATCAGTGTCATATTGATGTAGATTGAATGTACGAACATAATGAAATATGGTATATACAGCATAGTTTCTGTTGAAAACTACATATATTTAACATAGTTATATAAAATAATGATAAATGTGTACTGTAATTTTACTGGGGATACTAAATCCTCAAACGCATCATTTGAAAGAAATCAATGTTAACATTCACCTCATGATTTTAAGTGAAGTTCGTTCAGTGACACTCAATGCTATTTCATTTTCATGAAGTTGTTACTTAATTTTATTCACTTTGATTCAATGTTCAAATGATGACTATTCAGCTCGGTAAATTTTTTTAAAATTGATATTCATTCAATTAAATGACATGACAAACAAGTAAGTACTGTCCATTCTGTCTGCTCCATTGGTTGATAATTCTAAAATTTTGATTAAACCTGTGAAATAAATGCATTTCAAGCAATAGCTTCCAACAATCTCAGCCGTTACCAATCTGTAGAGGTTAGTTCTTACAATCGTGATACAAGTTTAAAAACAATATCATTCGAATTAGTACTCAGTTAACTTTTCATCGGAAGCGCGACACACGTGAAAGGTATACAGAATTATATTTATGGTATGAACAGATGAGATTTTACCTTGTGCTAAATCCATTTCAAACGTTTGTGTAATCGATGTGTTCCCTACTATTTCAGTGCATCTTTATAATTTACATGTTGAAT